ACGCACCATATGAAACCACATGGTACTGCTTCTCCCTCAGTTAAGGTTCTCAGCCACCACCAGCCCTCATCTTGGGAACCCAATTCCTTGGCCTAAAGGTTCACGAGTCTGTTGGGAAGGCTGCAAGTCTCTCCCTCCCACTGGTGCATGCTATATGGAGAAAAATTATGTGTGTGTGTGTATGAGAGAACCCTTGAGCCACAGCTCTTGACCTGATAAAACCATGAGCAAAGGCTGCTCTCACCAATATATTAATTAAAAAAATATGAAATTTAGGTGTTTTCTCAGGGAGTGTCATATATTGAATCTGATTATGTTCTATAACTAAATGAGCTCTGCCCAGAGGGCATATATACAATTACATATAAATTATATCCATTCCCAACAATCTCTGCCTTTACTCTTTAACTACCTGTAACAGCTATAAACCCATATCACAGTGAATTACCACTCCTTGCACCACCTCAGTTGTGCCAGTTAGATGGGAGGGCAATGCCCCGAGTGGAAGTCAGTGACAACATCTTGTAACTTGTCTCGAGACACACAGTGACTTCTTCTTCTGCCTGATTGTGCTTGGAGCATAGGCTCATCAGGAAAAATTAACTACAACTACAAAAGAAATTAAAAGAGAAGGTGTCAGCAAGTCATGACATTTTTCTGTGCTTAGAAAAGACACCACAATCTTTGTGCAGCAGGAAAGGGCTGAGATAGTTTCAATGGCTTCGCTGTCTCTTGACTGACAGAGCATAACTATTTCCAAAATACAAGCAACATCATTGTGGCCATACAGCACCAGAGAGCATTATTTACCGACTGCAACTGAGCTACTGCTATCAGTCACATATTGCACATCTAGCTCAGGGTTATTCTGATTTTGTTTGAGAAATGTCCTCTTCTGGATGAAGAGGTATTAGCAGTTTCACAAACACTGTCAGCTAATCAAAAAATATTAGAGAAGCACTCCACAGTCTAGTGGTTTTCTGTCACTTGCTCTAGATGTGAGAAATGTGTGGAAATAAATAAATTTATTTATGTACAGCAGCCTGTCAGGAGCCCTTGGCATGCAGTGGGTCCATGTACTGCATTTGCCAGTCAAATCTGCCTCATACTCTCAGCACTCCCTGACAGTGACCCATTCAGTCTGCTTCTAAATGGTATTATCTGGCATTATGTTGCCTGACACTAATGTCTACCTAAGCCATAAGTGGTACTTCATTTACAGGCCTGACACAGATGCACTGTGTATTTACCTCACATTTATGCTCAATCATTTGAGCAACATTGTGACTTTTCCTACAAAAAGCACCACCTCTAAGTATGTTAATGACTGCTTATATATACAGCAGGAGTGCTCACTAATTTTATCCCTGCTAGGTTTTGCTTTCACCCAGGCAGATGACACATGCCTTTCTGGACTCAGAAAGATCCTCATTCTGGGACAGAAACAGACCACTGGGCTACAAGCTGGAGGGGAAGGGACGTCTGGGTGATAGCGGGAGGGGATGTGAGGGAGAAGGGAGAAAAAGGGAGAAAAGCACTGCTGGAAGAAAAACTAAGAAACAGAGAAGCAAGTATGGACTCTTTCTGTCAACTTCCTCTTTTTCTTTCTCCTAAGGTCCTCTCAGACTTCTCCATCACCCCTTTTCATTGACAGCTTCCTACCTTCTCCCATTTATCTTTTCTGATTCCTCTACATTGGACTTCTCCCTCTACTAACACACACCAAAACCGGTGCCAGTGACAGAGTCTGCTGCCAGCAAGGCAGAAGCTGTGGGCAGCTGGGTGATACCCTGGCCAGTAGGAAGCCTCTTGAACAGGGAACTGCAATGCAGTGCAGTGCTGTCTTCCCATTACACACTAGGGAGAAACACTGCTAAGATGGATGCTTCTGTGGAAATACTGGGTATTGAAAGGGAAGAGTTTGGCATGAAGACAAAGAAAGTAATAACATGCCAGTAAATTGTTTTGTATAAAACCAAAAAAATCTCTCCAATACAAAATGTAATACATGTCTGAATGGTAAACTTTTCTGTGCTTTGCTGTTTGAAACGGAGCAGCTCAGTGGTCAGGATTTAGGAGGCATTTTTAAAGAGAAAAACATGATTCAGGAAAATTAAAACAATATACAATCTACCTTCTGTGGACACTGATATCACAAATTGATAATATGTCACTGTAGACCAAGGAAAAAGACAAATTAATAAAGAAACAATCAACTCTTACACTTACTTCTAACTAGTAAATTCTTCTACTAAAACCTTTTACTAGCAGGAAAAACATGCACTATCTCAGTACTTGCTCTCATCTGCTTCCTTCGGGCACTCAAGGCTTGTGACACTCCCTAGTACCAGTGAATGTCACAGGGCTGCAGTTCTACCTCGAGGGGAGTATCTTTTGGCACAAAACACAGCTCTCATCCTGCTCACCTATGTGAAATTAATGCACTGGATTTATTTCAGCAAGAACACAAGAAAGCCATTTTTTAAGACAACTGATTTGAAAAAGGCCAAGGTCTCATCAGAGAAATCAAAGTAACATATACTGCATGACACATGGAAATGTATTTTACCTTCTGATGTGTTCCAAAAGATACGTCTCACTTTGCTGGAAGCTGTATCTATGCAAAAAAAAACGTCAGAGGAACTTAAACAGTGTCACAGCCTTAAGACTGATTCATGTGTTTGATCAAGAGCTTATCAATTTTATGACAAATTATCAGTCAGTAAAAATTAATACACAAAGTTGTATACTCTGTGATTTTTGAGTAATGCTTGATATGTAAAATGAGATTTTTCAGTAACTTTTTTCAAGTATTTAATAGAAATTTCTTGCAGTTTACATTGCATTACAATATTTTTAATTGTTTTTGATCTTCAGTGGCAATGTAATATATCTTTATATGGAGACTACCAAGAGATTTTCTTTGGACAGAGAATTTTTTTTTTTGTTGTTCTGCTGGATCCTATTAGTCATATGCACATACATATTTAATATTTTATATCATTGCATCTTTGTAATGCTACTTGTTCAGTAAGAACAAAACACTTTTAGGCTAACTTGCCCTCTTGGTATTCCTGCACTAGCTATGGGAAGAATTAATTAGTTATCTGTGAAGCATCACATATGCTTACAACACTCAGCAAGTAATAAGACAAATCTTGAGGTTACTCCAAAGCTCAAAATATTCTCTTTAAGGCCCACATCACTATATTGATGCACAGCAGTCCTGAGGGACACCTCCAATGTATGGGTTGATCCTGTTCTTTTTTGTTTCTCCATCTCAGAAATCTGTTAGAGCTCTGTGTCTCAGTAAATATAAGTGCACCTCAGCTACTTAATTGCATATTGCAATACAAAATCTGGCAGACACATGAAAAATCAAGCTTCTTCAGAGGCTAAAATCAATTGCCATCTTCTGGTTTTACTCAGTTTTGAAGTCAGCTCCTACTGAGTTTGATCTTCTTGAGTAGAAACTCAGTACAAGCTTCTGTACTTGACCCAATAATATTTAAAAAAATAAAATAGTGAAACCTCTCTTTAAGGAAAATATCAACATCACAGTGTCTTCAATTCTCCGTTGCCCAGCATCTAATTTAGTCACTAGACAAATGAAAGAAAATGAGTGTTCAGAAACCCTACAGTCTATACAGTCCATTTAACACTCTAAGGTCCTTGAGCTTCTCCAGCTCTCCTTTATGCTAGGCTTAAGGACTGGTTTTCCTTTTAAATAGCCCTAGAAGATCCTGTTTAAAACAGCAGAATTAGCTGGCTGCATAAGAAATCCCTGGAGAGGAGAGGAATGCACAGAGCTGCAGTACTCTGCCAGGCAATGAGCAGTGCTCCAGCCCATAGCACACACCAGGAAAGCTGCCATCACCAGCAGATGAGCTTTAGGAAAACAAGCTGAAATAGTTTCAATATGGGTGCCCACATGCAGTGCCCATCTTACATCTCTGATGGGCGATATATGGCAGAGAAGAACATGTCCTCACATCTCCACTGCTTGGCATTACGACCCTGAACTGAGACCCAGTGCAGCCAAAATGCTGCTCACACTGCTCTAGTAACCTCCAGCAAGGAGCAGTGCTTCTTCTAACCACCACCACAGATGTTTGTTTCAGTGCCCATAAAATACAGTCTCTGGGAAAGCCACCAGGGTGTTCTTAATCACAGCAGGATCCTCTCCAGGCACCAGAATTACTCAGGTTCACAATGGCAGAAGAGGTGGCTAAATGGTACAAGAAACTCCTGTTCTGCCTATACTAGACACTTCATCTGGGGACTTACGGTTTAGACCTTTTAGGACCAGATAGAGTTTGGCCATTCTGGACCCTGTAAAAATATAGGCACAATGGGAATACTTTATTATAACAAGCTAAAAATGTATTGTGCTTTTGGAAAGAAATTCATAAATATTATGGTTCCATGGAGTAAAAACAATATGTACCAATATATTTTCTGCCCCAACTTAGGAAACAGGTTCCCAACTCTAAGATTACATATATGTGTTAGTGATCACAGTTTTACATGTACATAATTCCTTCTTTTATCTAATGCATTTTCAGGTTAAAAACTTCACTGACTTGTGCAATAGTTCTTACATGTTTGTAATATATCTCTACCTGAAGATTAGGAAATCATAAAAGCAAATTCTGTATAAGATATCAGACTGCTGCAGGGGAAACAATCAAACCCAACAAAATACCCACAAAATCAAAAAAACCCCACTCTTCTCATATTTAAAACTGTTTTCCCAACATTTTCTCCCCCAAAATGAATAACATTAGTTGTGTAAAAACTAAACCATCATATGAGGCATATTTTAAAGCCTCATATAAACAATGAAGCTTTTATGGCATCCTCAGAGCAAAGAATGTCCAAATATGGCTGAGAGTTAAGTACCCTGAGAATTGACTGCTCTTAATGAATTCACTGAAGTTTGCAAGTCCACATTTACCAAGAATCAGAAGAGAAATAAAGGGAAGAGAATGTAATTCAACTCATTTTCCTGTACCATGCTCTAAAGATATTGTGTTATAAACATTCTCCATATCTTGGATGCTGGAGGCATCTGTTGAGTCTTGGTCGCTGACTACAATTCCTACTGAAGAAAGGCTAGAAATGAAGGAGTGCATCTTTTTTGCATAAATATCCCTAATGTTAAAATAGGGTAGGTCATTACATTTCTCTTTGTGATCATTGTTGCATTGGTCTGTATCAATAGCTTTTTGCTTTTGATAGTATTTAGAAAACTTATTGAAAATAATGGTGATTGGAAGTGCTACCACTAGTATCCCACAGATAATGCATAGGGTGCCAAGCAGCTTTCCAGGGAGCGTGACTGGATAAGTATCCCCATATCCAACAGTGGTCATGCTGATGGTTGCCCACCACCAGCAAATAGGGATGCTCTGCAGTTCTGAGTCATCATCATCTTTCTCCACTGAGTAGACAAGCACTGAAAAAATAGAAATCCCCACAGACAAAAACAAAAGCAGGAGTCCAACTTCTTGATAGCTATGTCTCAAAGTGGCACCTAAAGACCGCAGTCCTACAGAGTGCCTGGCCAGTTTCAGGATGCGAAATATCCTCATTAACCGCAGGATCTGAACCACTTTCCCCATGTTTTCAATATCTTCACTTTCTTCTTCCTTTGTGTCCACAGCCAGTGTGGCATAAAATGGGATAATAGAGACAAAATCAATGATATTCAGTGGTTTCTTCCAGAATTTCTTTTGACTTGGAGCAGTGAGGAGCCTGATCACTAGCTCAGCAGTAAACCAGATGATGCATGTAATCTCCACAGCTTCCAGTGCGGGGTTTTCAATCTCCCTGTCATTGGCGTCCAGCTTTTGAAATTCTGGCATGCTGTGAATGCACATGGCCACGATTGATGCCAGGACAATGCTCAGGGATGACACAGCAATTAACTTGGCAGACAAGCAGTATCCAGGATTTTCCATTCTGACCCAGATCTTCTTTCTTATTTCACCAAAACAAAGACTGTCAAACTTTTCTAGCTCTTTATCAAATATGGATGACTCTTCATTAGAGGAGTCTATACTGTCATTGCTCTTCTGATCCCAGTCTTTACCAGGACCTTCTTCTTTCCTTTCTTGGTACCGATTGCTGCAGCAGAAAACAGCTCTTCCCCAGTACTCTATTTCCTGGCAGAAGGAAAAGACACAAAGTTCTTCCATAAAGTGAAGCTTGCCTGTATAGTAAAAATTCAGAACATATCGGAACAAGGAAGGATTCCTGTCAAAGTAATATTCCTTGTCTGCAACACTATAATCATCACACAGTTCTAGAATAGCCTCTTCTGAATGGCATTTGAGAAGTTTCCCATTCCCCAGTACTCTATTTCCTGGCAGAAGGAAAAGACACAAAGTTCTTCCATAAAGTGAAGCTTGCCTGTATAGTAAAAATTCAGAACATATCGGAACAAGGAAGGATTCCTGTCAAAGTAATATTCCTTGTCTGCAACACTATAATCATCACACAGTTCTAGAATAGCCTCTTCTGAATGGCATTTGAGAAGTTTCCCAAGTCTGGTATGGGGAAATCGGAGCAAAGTGCTTTGATCCACTGATTGCTTAAAGCCACCCACATTCAAATTGATAAGTTCTGCATCTTTGCCAGGTCTGTGGAAAAATTCGCCATAAACCATTTTGGACAGATGAGTTCCACTGCTGTTGCCCAATGAGATTACATTGAACCTGAAAAAAATGTAAGATATGGTTAGAGCATTTAATTCAGTTTGGGTCTTGCGACACTTTTTTTTTTCCATCTCTGGTTACCATGAAGCTTTTTTTTTAAAAAAAAGAAGAAACTAAAATATGAATATCATTATTCAGCATTTCACAGGCATAGCTTTAAATCAGTTTGATGGTTTAGCACAGCTTTAGTAAATTTAAAAGCAATAAGTTCTGGTTTAGGTCTCCTTTTTCCCAGGGTGAAGGAAGAATGCCAACTTCATCAGTAAATCAGTCTGTTGCAGTATCACACTGAAATTAATAGTCATGAAATACAAGTACTTTAATGATGCAAAAAATTCTTTAGTTTAAAGACAGAAAACCTGTTAATCCACCAAAACATTTAGGACAAAGCTTTAGAGCAGGTGTCTCTCAATTATGGTTTAAGTAGAGTTGTATTGATTGATATGATGTTGCAATTTATAATCCACTACTTTCAATGTCATTTGCTTGAATGTGGACTGTAGTTACTTCTGTTGACATATCAATTAATTTATTTCTAGTGTAATTCACAGAAGAGCATTCTGTATTCTTGAAAACATATCAAAAGTATATTTCAAGCTTTCCAATTCCTGACTTCAGAATTTTGTCTAGTATATATTCAGATATCTGCACTCCCTCAGGTATTTTTCTACTTGCTCTCCTACTCACCTGAAGTGTCACAACCCTCTTATGACCTTGGCCAGTTTCAGAAGCAATTCCTATTCTGTCCCAGCATAGCTACAACCACTATGGCGTTCCTGAGAAGTTGGTGTTGAAATGTCACTTCTGCCAACAGAAGCTTTCATAGATGGAACTTCCACAGTAATTTTGCCTCAAAAACTAACTGTGGATACCTGCAGATAGACAGAAGGACATTTGAATGTTTCCATATTTTACTGTACGTTAAATCATTCAGCTGAAACTGAATTCAAAAAGGCAGTTACAGATACTAGCAAATAATTTAACTTTTACAGGAGAACTGTATTGGAAACATCAGGGGCTGATGCTATAAATCTCATATATTCTACTTCTGCTTCTTCACAGGACTCATTCCAACCAAAGCTACTGAAAATCCCACAGTAATCTCTCTGTATATAACAGCTACTGACAGGTATAACACATGAACAACCAGGCCCAGAAGATGCTGAAACTACATATCTGCTCTGGCAATTAATTTTGGAAAACCAGATCTCTATCCAGAGTGAGCTTTATTTATATAGTGAAAGAAAAATGTTATTTTTAAAAATGGAGAAAGCATTTCTTTTTCTGGGCACACCACAACTACCTTTAAATAACTTATCTTAAATCAGAATTAGTTCGAAACATTAATTTTACTATCTGCATGGCCTACCATGGAATCAAGATAAAGTTCTTCTGCTAAGACAAAGGGGTTGGGAAAAGCACTATATGACACATACTGCTTTCTGACCAAAGAAGCCAGAGAATGGCCATTTATATGGCATGATGAGCTGTGTATATGTGTTCTGGATTTGGCTGGGGTAGAGTTAATTTTCTTCAGAGTACCTGGTATTGGCCCATGTCTTAGATTTGTGCTGATAATACAGGAATGTTTTCATTCTGACTGATCAGTGCTTTACACAGCACCAAGGCTTTTTCCGCTTCTCACGCCACCAATGAGTTGTCTGGGAGCGCACAAGGAGTTGGAAGGGGACACAGCTCGGACAGTTGACTCTAACTGACCCAAGGGATATCACAAAATCATAGAATTTAGGGGTTGGAATGGACCTTACAGATTATCTAGTCCCAACCCCCCCCGCCATGGGCAGAGACACCACCTAACTAGATCATGTTGCTCAAGGCTTCATCCAGCCTGGCCTTCAACACCGTCAGGGTCGGGGCAGCCACCACAT